AGTAGCAGTAGCAGTAGCAGAAGCTTTTTACGGCTTCGTGTTGAAAGTCTTGGGCGAACGTGTGAAGTTTTGGAGTTTCGTTTTGAGGCTTCCAGTTTTCGGGCGAAGCGGATGAAGTTAGGGCGACTGGCGGCAAGCCTTTGCCATATTCAGCGTAGTTGGTGTAGCTCGATGAAGGTATTGCCTGAGGTCGACGGCCCATTCCACTTCTCACCATTTTCTGGGCTCGAGTGGTCTTTGCTCCTTTCAGCTTTCTGCGCACTGTCGCAAGGCAGAAGCAGTCACAGCAAGCTCTTACCAAAGACACAATTTGACATAGTTTTCCAATCCACTTTTGGCTGAGGCCCTGGGCTTGCCGTACAGCCCGTGGGGGGCTACAGGCGCTACGGTTCCATCCGTGCTTTGCGGGAGGTAGGCACAACGACCCACGACCCATGCAGTGATGTGAGCCGCGATCGATCAACATTTGAGGGTCTGCTAGTCCTGGTCCTGTCGGAAAGCAAAACCACTACTAAGCAAACCCAAATGCGTTGCCCCAAACCACGCAACTCAGAACGTAGGTGACATCTCACTGCTGTATCAAAACATGCGACTGCGTGACGGTTGAGGTTATTCTCACGCATAGGACCCACGCGCCCTCTGCATGTTGTGGGGTGTGCTGTCGTTCCAACAAGTGCCCTTGCCCCGGGTGTGCCTTCTTCTAACAGGGGGCACTTGTTCCGCTGTGGGACTTACAATTACAGGAGAATAAGGCTACGTAAAGGCCCCCAACCCTAAAGCCTAAACCCTAAACCTAAACCCTACAGCCCTAAGCCGTTAAACCCTACACCTAAACCCAGAACACTGCACTGGCTGGCAAGAACTCACAGCGACGACCCCTCGAGACTTGGGCCAGGTGCAACGGCTCCGAACGGCCCGGAGACAGCATGTTCCGAAGCGAGGCAGGCTTTAGGGTTTAGTTTAGTTGCCTGTCTGGAAGGAATTGGCTACAGTCTTGGCTCTACTTGGGTTGGGCGGGGACCTGGCAGGGCAGGGATGGATCGGCAGGGTTTGCCGGAATCAGGTTGGAGACCAAGTCTACAGGGAGGGAGACTTTGCTACGCCTAAGAAGCCGGTGTCTCGGCCTGGATGGCCTAGAAGGCTCGTGCTACCTCACAACGTGGCACATGCCATCCAGACCCGGCGCGATCTGCATCGCTTCCCGATCAGTTGTGATAGGAAAGCAGTTGAGGCCATATTCGGACACTGTGCATACTGCGTAGAGTCCCTAGACTCAGCTTGCTATGTATTCAAAGGAGTAGAGCATGGGAGCAGACAGGTAGCCTCAAGCTTGACGAGCACGCCAGGCCGGCATATCCTATGTTAAAGCCTCACTTCGATCAGCTCGGCCTACCTGAGACGGCTTCTGTGGAGGACTGCACACGGACCTGCGCCCACGTGATACTAATGGTAACTGTTATAAGTTATAATAGCCACAATAGTAAATAGTAAAGATAATGAAAATAGCAGGAATAGCAATAAGAGCAATCTAAGTAACATCAGACATGGCTATCATGTTTATAGTAGTTAAAAGAAAGTATCATTTTTAGGTAGCTATGTTATAGTATTTACAATAGTTGTATTATGTGTAACAGCTATACCCATTGTAACAGTGATCATGTTCTAGAGGATCCTGGGAGCTTTCAAAGGGCGCCCCCCCTGCCTCATCGCCGGGAGGAGATTCGCCAGAGCTTCCGAAGGCTGGCTCTGAGGCTCGGATCTTCCGCAGTTTCAAGGGCTCGGAATATCTCGGAGTAGTATTGCCTTGATAGTTCCTAATGGTTATAGAGAATTTCTACTCGGATACCCGAACTGAAGGCTTGAGCCTTGTTCAATTTGCTGTTGTCGGCTTGGGGTTTGGGGCTTCGGGTTTGGAGTCCAGCCGGCCAGGCATCATCCAGACAAGAACAGCGAGGACACCGCGTATTGCATGAACGAAACAATCGATGCGCAGCTCTTTCGAAGACGCTTTTTGACTAGGACAGCTATATCGATTCCGGACTGAGGAACGCCAGCTAATCTTCATCCTCGTCCCGGTGCGCGGGCTGGTGCTCGTCCTCGTCGTCCTTGCCCGTGATGGCGTCGGTGTCAGCGTAGGCGTCTTCCTTGTCGACGTCGTCGTATCATAACCCAATGCCGAAACCAGCAAGCTCCAAAGCCTAAACCCTTCCTCACCATAGCCAAAAGCTCGCGAAGTCCCGCAGGATGTGGGAAAGGCGACCGAGGCTGGCAGCCTCTGAGCGCTCTCCAGAGTTGTCTATCCGTGTAGAGTTGATGGCTTAAAGCCGAAGTGCCGAGACCTTCAGAGTCAAGCTGGTGACGCTAGGTTCCGACAGATGTCCAGCATCTCTCATATGCGAATCCTGCACAGGCTTTCCAGCGCATCTACAAGGCCTACGCGGCACTGAAAGAGGCGTTTGGTGAATGAGGACTTGGAGACCAGCACAGGGGTGGAGGCCCTAAACCCTAAACCCTCAGCCCTTCATGACGCCAAGAAGTGTGTGCGGGGGGACCTGTTGAAGCTTCGGCGCTCGTCTGAGATATGATGTCAGCTGTCGTCCGTCCCCTGGATGGGACAATTCTACCGAATGAGCTTCTCACGGCCCATTTTGCTGCTGCGGGTTTTAAGCTCGTAAAGCGACTCCTGTGAGTCTTGTGAGCCAGGAGAAGGCCCTGGGCGATCCATCTCAGTGCCTGCAGTGCTTTGGCCGTTCAGACATGGATGCATGATGCACAGCACCTGCAGTGCACCGCGTGTTAGCTCCGAGCAAGTGCAATCGTGGAGTAGGGCATGTAGTGCTTAGTTAGCCTTCGGAAGCAGCAGTTGTCAAAATACGTTCCGGTTCTATGCACAATCACAACACCAGACTGCCTGCTGTAGCCTGTAGCTGAGTGAGCGAAGGAGCCTCACCGTGTCTTCGCTCCGTAGCAGTTTCCAGATGATGCAAGCCCTAAACTTCCCTAAACTCTAAACCCTAAACTCTCAGCCTTCAACCCTACGGCCCTAAAACTTTGAACCAAAAACGCGAAACCGAAGGTACGTGGATGACCGGAGCGGTGCCGGTATGGCAGTGCGGAGGTGACTCGCCCAAGGCAGAATGCTCCTCGACCTTGCAACTGTCATTGGAGGTGGACCTGTTGAGTTCGGGCCAACCTGCTGCTAGCAAGACTACCACCACACCGTCACGCGTGGCGTTTTCGGCTGGTTCTGGTTCGGCTGGTATCGAAACGTCCAGGAGGTGATTGCGGCGAAGATGAATGTGGCTACGCAGTCACCTGGGCTTTGTCCAGCGAAGCTCCGATTCGGCTGAAAGCACAGAAACGGGGTTTAGGGTTTGGGGTTTGCGGTATTGGAAAACAGTCACTTATGAGAAGAACTGACCTGGGAAGCGGCCACTGATGTTTGTCTTCCGATATCTCTGGAGATGACCGGCTTATGCTCGGTGGCTTGCGACGACCTTAGTTTCAACGACGACGGAACCGTGTCTTGGGCCTTGGGCCGCTAGAGCTCGGAATGTCGGGCCTAGGGCTGGCAAATGAGTCTGCAATTGCTAAAATCTTTCGGGTTTGTGGTTTACGGTTTAGGGCGTAGGGTTTATGGTTAAGGGTTTAGGGTTTAGGGTTTAGGGGCTTTCTTCTTCGAAGGCCCTGGAACCTGAGTGGCGTCTGGCACGCGAAAGGCAGTGCCCGCATCGGAACATCGGAAAGGAAAAAGACAACCAGTAGCAAGTATTTACAAAGGGGTTTTTTCGAGTTTGCAGTATAAGTCATTATACTGTAGTCTTGTACTCGCACAGACGAGTACCTGGCACGGAATAGCTTTTGCAGTGTACAGTAAGGCATGCGTACATGAGAGCTTGTTTGCAGACGTTCACTACAGCATTCTCTCAGCACATTAGGGCAAACCCGGGGGCTCCTGACATGTCTGCAGCGAGAGAACTGGCCTTGGTGGTTGATGCTATTTTGCAGCCTTCAAGTTTTCCAAAAGCTTTAAGTTGCGCTGTGCGAGGACCTGCGAAGCAGGTCCGTAACTCTGAATCGCCCATGCGCACGTACTACATGGCCCGGCTATGGCTCTTGGCTGTTGGCTTTGCGATTGCAGCGGCATCCAATGCAGAGATGCAGCAGGCCCCCGTGCATCACATCCGTTCGTTGGGCCAACCCTAAACCTAAACTCATAAGGACCGTTAGGGGGGAAGGCCTAAATCCTAAACCTAAAGCCCCGAAACTCTAAAGGCTTCAGGTCAGGGCCCTCAAGATAGGAAGCTGCACAATCCCAGGGTGAATCGAAGAGGAGGGCATGGCAGCCAACGCCATTTCTCAACCTGGGGTTCGACCTTCAAAGAGGTGACATTCTCCTTGTCCTTCCCATGTGTTTTTGGGATGTCATTGAGCAGAGGACGTGCAAAAGTGTACCACCTTAAGCCCTAAACGCTACAGGGTACCGAACTTCTTCCCGCCTCAGGCCATTCTTGCCCGCAATGCGACAGCCGTCCAAGAGCTGCTGGAGTCTGGGCAGGTAGACCTCCGCACCTGGATAAACCCGGCAGCTGGGCACTTGATGGAGAAAGCTCTCGAGGTAATGTAAGAGCATTCGGCATTCGTCCCATAGCCGTGTAGTAGGAATGGTCGTCGCTGGGATGTTTCTTCGTGGAGACGGCTCATGAAAAGAGCCATGAAGTTTGCTATTTTGGATGTCTTGTGGGTTTGCTCAACTCGACCAGACCGTCACCTCGGTAGCCAAATCCTTCCCTTGCCTCGCCCATCATGTGACCAAACCCCAAGCTCTGGAGTATGAACCTCTAAAGCTCAGGAGTTTGGAACAACTTTCGTGATTGATGCCGCCCTCGTTCCAAACAACACCATCGTCCTCCGACTCTTGCTCGAAGAATGGCCGGAAGGAGCTAATTGAGCGCTGGGATAATCCAGTAGCTGCAAAGACATACCTTACATAGGAGATATATTCACCTATGTTATGTTATATGATACAACACGTTACAGTAAGATTAACAATCATACTATTGCACCGTGTAATAGAGCAGAACAGAATCCAACTTGTGACAACATGGTATGGTAGAACACAGCACAATATTGCAACATGCCAACTAGTAAAGCTTGTAACAGGATCTACATAGATACGTAGATAGATGGATAGATAGATGGATAGATTGATAGACAGGTAGATGGATAGATATAGAAAGACAGATCGACAGATACAAAGTATCATACGTATACTATTGCAAAGCAATCAGTAATGACACACTTCAACCTAAGGCAAGACAAGACAATACAGTTTCATTTGTTAACATATAATACTAGTTCATAGAACACCTAACGATACTCAAAAAGCACCATATGGTGTGAATCTAATCCAGCCGAGCCTAGTCTAATCCAATCTACCCATCCCAGTGTAGTTTCATCCAATAGCCGGGTTTTTAGATAGACGAGCATAGAGCCAAATAGCTGAATACAAAAACAAGCCTATACACGCACACACACACACACAATAGCATAGTAATTGTTTCTAGTCGGTAAAGCAGTAGTACGGCTGGAACAACGACATGCGGTGACATAGAAGGTTCAGGGTTTAGGAACCGGAAGGAGCCATAGTTTCCATACCTGCTCAAGACAGCAGCATGCAGGGACTTGACCAGTTGCAGCGAATGTTTGCAGGAGCTATTGCAACGGATGTGACCTATGGCGCCACACCTCTGCATCTCAGCAACACATTAGCTAGCTAGGCAGCTAGACGTGAATAATCAGGGGTCCCTTTTCGCAGTTTTCGCCGGCCTCAAGCAATACTGAAGGAACCCCGCTAGCCCCTGCAATTCCGTCAGCAAGAAGTTAAAAATGACTTGGGAGCCGTGCGCGGGCTGCTGCCCTACAGCTTACTCCGCACACAGCCAGGATCGGTACAGCTAGCTTCGGCATGTTCGAAAACGCAAAGCTGCTGATGGAGGTGTCGCCAGAAGCACTTCCGGCTGTCGATGTGTACCTTGCCTGTCATTGATAAGACTTCTTAAGCATGCTATTCGAAAATTGTGGACGACCAAAACTTCTTTTCAGCTGTTGGTTCAGACTAGCAGGTACGGGAAGACAGCTGGGCACGTTGCGGCGGAGTTTGGACATTTTCACATTCTCCAGCTGTTTCTCGGACACTGGCCTGGAGGGTTGCTTATCGAAGACATGAATGACCAGACGCTCATGAACTACGCAGCCTGCGGCGTTGTGATTTCGGTGGGCTGCAACGGCACCATGCTGCAGCCCTGGAAGGAGGTAGGCCTGAGCCTGGAATGTAAGCACCTAGACCTGCTGAAGAGGCAGGACCTGGAGCTTTGGCTGCAGTGCGGTGGCGACCTGAGGGTTCAACCATTTGGGACACCGCTCTTAACCCACCTGAAGGATGAGGAGGCTATTCAGTTTTGGCAGGATGTGGTGGAATCTGAGCTCTCCGGGGTGATTGTGGAAGACAGGGGCACCTGGATAGCTCTAAGCGCCGCCCTCGTTGCTGCTGTTGCAACCGTAGGCCTGGAGCCAACGGTATCTACTGCTACACTATGTACACTATTTGAGTACGCACTACCATACTGATGCTATACTCATATCTAGGGAAACACTGTACGGTCTTGCAGCCCTAGGCCTGGAGCATTTGTATGCCAAGCTCTGGCAGCCAGCTGACGGAGCTGAGCGCAGTCCGTTTCAGCGAGGTGCAAGCACATTGGCGTGCAAGGCTTTCGGGGCCAATGTGGGGCTTCGCAAAGTCTGGCGTCTAGTCGAGGTTTACTGGTTCATGATAGTTGTTGGCCTGCGTCCGCTGGTCTTTTATTGGGCGTCATGGTATCCAATCGTGGCAGTGCTTTATGTCGTCCCCGGCATCGTTGCTTATGGCGCGATGCCAGTGCTTCGCAACCCAGTTCTGGTCCTCACCACAAACAATCTGGCGAGCTATGTGTTTGGCCTTCTGCGAGTGATAGTCTTTCAGATTCTGTTCCGGCTTGTGATTGATTATCAGTTGGGACGTTGGTTCACATTACCGACAAGTGAGACTGACGTCATGGTCCGTCCAATAGATGTCTCCTATTGGCTATCCTGGCTGGTTGGCCCGGACTTTGCAACATGGTTTGAGCAAAAGCCCTTGACGCTCTGGCAGGAGAGCAACTTGCAGGACGATATCCCCTGGGCGCCATCCATCATGGCCAACGATATCTTTCAGGTCCTGAATCGTATCGCCGACTATATGCCGTGGCTGTATTGCTTTTGTCTACTTGTGGCAATTCTGCACAGCCTGGGAAGGAGTCATGCTCAAACAGCAACAATTTGCTGTGGAGACTTGGGTCAAAGCATCACCAGGCAGGCAGATGAGATTCAACTCGCAGTTCAGGAACTCCTTCAAAAGGAAGTTGGGCAATTTCGAGAAGTGAACCCGAAGATCAAGCCCGTGGTAGGCTGGGGGTGGCCCTGGCAGGATGTCGGCATTTATCCCAAAGTTGCGTTCATGTTGCTGGACATGGCCCTTGACATCAACACCATCGTTGCATTCCTGTCTGAGGGAAGCACCGGCTTTGCTGGCATCATGGCTTTCGTGGTGGCACGAAGTATCCTGAATCAGATGCGCATTCTTCGGCCGTGGAACCTCCCAAAGGCCGCCCAGCCCTTGCAGTCGTTAGCCATCTTCAAAACGTAGGGATGTTTACATGTGGACATGCACGTTGACATTGACTGCTTTGTTGGGCGATTGATATTCGTGAGCGGTATAGACGGTATAGAGGTGGCTGTTCTGGGGCATTCCGCCGGCACGGTGCGTGCATCCTGCATGCACACTGATAGCATCGCATTGATGACAAGACCTCATGTGAGTGCGTCCTTTTATCGTCTTTGGAATACTCTCCCATAGGCCCTCGTTCCGCAGTTCCGCAGACGCACACAACCGCCATGTACTACACTGCGGATGCGCACACAGTAGAACAGCACAACAGCTTGCAAGCTCACGGGCTCAGAAGCGAATGTAGTGTAATTTCCGAAACTTGTATCTACTGTAGATCCGATCGGCATGCTTCCCATTCAGCCTAAGCCGCAGGAAGTAGTCTTGGGGTCGCGTGACAGCATTGACCAACCCAGCACCAGCATGTTCACGGCCAGCATAGCAACCGTAAACCTCGCATCCTCTGATGCTGACATGATGGCAGGCGATCCATGCCAGTATCGCAAGAGGAATCATGCGGCAAGACCTCCTGGACTTCTTCATGGCTACTTTGCAGCCAGCAGAAGCCTAGCAAACGTCCTTGTGAATCCTGAGACGTGAACGTGTCGAGCAAGTTCCGCTAAGAAAACCAAGCGGAGTCCTGATGTCTAGATCGTCTTGCAGAGCTGGACTAAGGAGGAGAAGCGCTCCGAAAGTTTGGCTGCTGCCGTGCTCACCGGTTGGTCGATCCTCATATCAGTCTCGGCCTCTCAGATGCTCCTGGGCCCAACTTGTTCGGTTTAGGGTTCAGGGTTTCAGGTTTACGGTTTAGGTCCGTGTCTTTGCATTATTCTTGGTTTTTCTGGGGCTCATGGTGTTGAATACAGGCCCCTTAGTCGTGTTCACAGGAGGTGCATTATACTTGCGCATTATACTTGCTATTTCTAGCAACGAGCTCAGCTCTCAAGGGTCAGATCCCTGTCACCTACTAAGTTATTCCCTACCCCCGAAACTTCCCTAAACCCTACTGCTTGGTTACTTCCCCCCCCCCCCCCCCCCGCGAACGCCCTTCCCCATGTTTGGGATCGGCTGCTTTGGGTTTCAGGCTTGGGGTTTATGCATGCAGTCATGGGGCGCAATCCAGAAGCGAACTACTTGTGAACGAGCTACATGAGAAGTACAAGGCGGCTCAGGCTTATAATGGAGGTCTGCACTCTCTCCAGAGCGCGCCCTCTAACATACAAGGACCAGGGACGTGCGGTGCATTTGATGAACAACCTTACCCAGCCAGAACTGACTCAGGGCTGGGACCTACCATGCCCTGCGACATCAGAGTTAGCCTGCTTTTTTTCTGGGAAGCCTCCAGAAAAAGAGCCAGGAGGCATCATGGTTGGACCTTGTCAGGTCGGTTGTACGGCCCGGTTTATACCGGCAGACAAACTGTCATCCGCGTAGACCGAGCCTCGCCTCCCTTCTTTTAGAAAAGAGCAGATCTTCTCGGTAACCCTTGACGTGTCGTCATTTTCCGATCGAGGCTGCTGCAGACATTCAGCTTCGTCCTGAGCATGTACTCAGTTGCAGGCGGCTTTTTTGGGTGGAATCCTGCCACCGTACAACTCTGAAGCTTGCAAGCGGGATTTGGAAGCTTTGTCCGGTAATGGCTCCCTGTGGGTTTTGGTCGCATAGCTGGAATTCCGGAAGAAGTCGAGAGGGCTTCAAGGTGAGGGAGTTGACCCCAGGCAAAGAAGCTCTGGCTCCTTTTCAGGGGATCTCCAGCTCAAGATCCTTGGAGGGTTTCGGGCCCAGAGGAGTGATCTACTTCGTGCAAAACGGGCCCCACTAGGAACATCCCTTCTGTGGCAGGCTACATGGTGCAGGTGTGCGACTGGGAGCAGCTGGACAGAGTGGTTTTCTTTGTATTTTGTTTTTGGGGCTCCCCTACACCCTGAACCCTAAATCCAATGTGGCTGCAGTTCCTGCCGGGCCTTGGGAGTGCTGGGCCCTAAAACTGACCCTGTGAGCAGCTGAGGATATCTTTCCATCCCGAGGACACTATCAAAGAGAAAGCCGCACCATCGCCAGTGGAGGACGAGGATTTGGTTGAGATCTGAGGGCAGATGCAGAAGCTTTTCATTCTTCTCCTTGTGGTTCTGAAGTTGCTCGCAAACTTGGCTAAAAGCCTTCGTTTGCAGAATCAACCAGCACCTCTCTCTAACCTGTCTCCGGCAGTGTTCTTGACAGATCCGCCAGGCATTGCTCCCGAACCGGCACAAGGCTCAACATAGAGGAATGCAGCTTCATGCCGTGAGGGTTTAGGTTTGCGGTTTAGGGTTTGGGGTTTAGGGCTTAGGGTTGAGATGGTGCAGGTTGTTCGGGCAGTTTGAGCTCGGTGTGCTCAGAAAAACATCTCAACTGATGCGAGAGGTGGATCTTGGAGGCAAGAACCTTAAACCCACAACCTGAAGCTGACCAGTTGTCAATAACTCAAAAGGGTGCGCATGATCGTTCAGGATATTGCGGGACTGCATCCCTAAGCGCAGAACCTGTTGTCCTCAGCAAATCCATCCGTGGCGAATCGTATGGAAGGGATTCCTGTTGGATTGGCTTAGGGGGCAATAGAAGCCATAAGACTACCTGAAAATTCTGCTAAACGTGCAGGATCATCCTGTGTTTCAGTGCAGCTGGAGTAGTGTCTACGTCATGTATCGTATATTGTGGAAATGGCCGCTTTATCCCCTTGTGCCATTGACCAGCCCCCCAAAACGGTGTCTCGTTACTTTCATTGTCTGGCATTCGGGTAAGATGCCAAGAACCCTGGCCGAGAGCTGGCGGCGGCCCTTCATGCTGCAAAAGCAGCAAATGCGAACACTTCAAAGAAGTGATCGCGGCGACGTGGAATCGCTGCGCAGAACTCTGTTTCGATCCATTTGCGCAGCTCCAATTCGGCTAATTGCGCAGAAATCTCGCTGGGAAGGAGCTTTGACCTGTGAAGGCGCCGCCGATTCTTTTCCGATCTCGAGGCCGCGAGGCCTCTAGGCACTCTGTGCGGCAATGATTGACTAACGTTCGTTCACCTGCCTGGGCATTTTTTCCGCGAAATGCATCACACAGAGGAGAAATTACCTTTTCGAGCTCAAAATGTGTGTTGATACTGAAGGAATCATGGGACTTAGTAACTAGGGATATCTTTGGCATTATTGGGGGCAACTATAGAATTATTGATAACACCAATTTAGGCACATATATAACTTGTAACCATACTTTCTAAGTCCCATCCTGTGAAGAAGGACATGTGCAGTCACAAGATATAGCGCTTGCATGCATTGTGAGATCGTTCAGGCATTGACGTTCTGTTGGTGGTCCAGCTTTCAACCTCCGTGTTTCTGCGCTGATGCTGATCTGTTGCCGAGGTTCCTGCGTGTGCACCTGCTAACGTTGCGCTCAAGAGAAGCTCATCCTGTTCCTCAGCTTCGGGCCAGAGCAACGTATTGGTTCAGACCACATCCTCGACAGCAGGGCTGTTTGCTGTCAGAATCACCCATGTTTCAGTGGCATCAAGGCATCGTCTCGAAAGCACATTCAGTATACTCCAACCAGATGACCATAGCTCCGGCCGTGTGGTTTAACCAAGCCTCTTGCAGCTACAGCACCTCGATTGCAGCTTTCCCAGCTAGCAGCAGCTGCAGAGGCCACAAATCGCAGCAGTAGCGCGGAAAATAGCAGAACAATGCAGAACGTGTCGCAACCACGGCCGGCCGATCCTCAGAAGACTTAGAAACGATGTGGCATGGGCTGCTGCAAGCTGTGGAGCGCCGATGGCGACGGGACCGGCAGGGTTTTGTTTGCAGGGTAGGTTCAGGATGGAGTCGCCACAAAACCCTTGCCGCAACTCTCAGCAAAACAACCCAGAGACTCCAAAACCCTTTACTCGAGGAATGAAATTAAAACAGAATAGGAACCCTAATACGATTAAGGTATATTCCTTAGTTAAGGGGTTTTGGAGTCTCTGGGAATTAAGATGTTTGCACCGTGGCGACTGCTGTCTCTGGAGCTTGCTCCTCGAGGACAGCCCACGGCTACTTTGACAGGTGCTACTGCTACTCGGGGCGCTCAGTAGGCTACCCGCAGCTCGGTGGGAAGCAGTGATAGGAACCAAAGCCAACGGTGTTGAACAATTGCTTTGCAAAGCAAAACACAGAAATTGCGACAACACTTGTGCCAATCAATAATCAAAGCAGTGACAACAACGACGTTGGCTCTACCCACGGCCATGATAAAGCCAGAGAATAATAACGGCAATGGGAGGATGCGAAAACAGTCACCACAATGTGGTGTTGATCGATAACCTTATGCTAGATAGGGGTGCTCTGGCAGTGGTCACAGCAGTTCTTGTATGTATACACAAGCACATCACATGCACAGCTGGCAGTCGGACATGACAGGCGTCATTGTGAATGGGCGCCGACTGCCAAGCTTGGCCCACTGACACCACCCATATCCACATCCTGCCATACCATCTCGATTGCAATGTCCTTCCGTCCGGCTCTAGGAGATACGGCTTATTTTCGCAGAGCTGCTCTTTCGACTTTTCCGGCTTCCACCGAAACCCTAAGCCTTAAATCCCGAGCCCCAAACCCTAAACCCTGATCCTTAAGCCCTGAGCCCTAACCCCAAACCCAAACCCTAAGCCCAAAAAGAGGAAATAGAACCTAGTAGCTTAAAGAGTTCCTTCAAGGGCTCCTTGAAAGGGATCTATAAGGGTTCTATAACAGGAATTTAAGGGTTACTTACAGGATCATCGGACTTGGAAACTAGGGTTATCATTCGGTTAACTGTACCTGTAATTACTTCTGGCCGCAAGTAAGATACTTATAACTTACAACCATACTTGCTAAAGTTGCTAAAGTCCCATGATCCTCCAAGTAGGCACTCTTCTCCCGGATGACAGAATGATCCAGTTTCGTACCGTACCAGCGTCTGCTTCCGCATCGCCACTAAGCCCTAGCCCTAGCAATCCGGAATCCTTAAGCGAAAACCTTAAGCCCTAAGCCCTGAACCATAAATATGTCAATTATGTCTTCCATGGGTTCTTCATCGCAGGACAGCGATGCTCGGAACTCTCAGCTCAAGGCTGGTGTAAGCCGTAACCCCATCCTTGTGATCTTTCTCATGATTTCTGATTATGGCACCTGCTCGCCTATGCAACTTTCGGCGACCAGGTTCCTCTCGCGAGATGCAATGTGAAAGACCGCAATGTCGTCTTTTCCCTGCTGCTGTTGCCAATGCTGCCTAGCATAAAACGATCATCTCCTTCCTAGTGGGTTCAGGCATGACACACCCTGCTTCGAGCAAGCCCAGACCGCTCAAAGGTAATGTGGAACACCTGACTCGAAGGAATGTTTTTTCTGCGGTGGGCTTGAGAGTGGCAGGTGCTAGAGTGTCTGCAGAGCCTATTCGGTCCGGCTTCGTGGGTTGCTGCTGATGTTCGATGGAGCACAATGCACCGTGGGGTCTCCCTGTCATGACTGGCCTCGTTCCGACCCTTTGTTTAGAATTGCCGCAGTTATTGGGTGGTGCCGGCGTGGTGCTCGGCGCAGTGCTGCTGATAGTTGGGGCCTCAGCTATCGGATACAGAGCTGCCAAGGACTGGATGGTTCAGAGCTTCGTCATATTGACTGATTGAAAGTATTATTCAATATTGGATTTTATTTTCTTACGGTTATTCATTATTAGTGTTGTAATATGATCTCTACTACCACGACGACGACGACTACTTATACTACTGCTACTGCTACTGCCACCGCTACTGCCACTGCTACCACTATTGTTACCATTATTGCGACGACGACTACTACTACGACGACGACTGCAGCTACTATTACGACGACCACTACTACGACTACGACCGCGACTGCGGCTCCGACTACGACGTGGGCTCGGCCTTTGAGTCCCTAGATTCGCTCCATGGAGTTACGGTGTTCTCTGTGAGTTCGTCATGGCAGGATGCAGGTGTGATGCCAAAGCTCCTTGTTTAGGATTTTGGCTTCAGGGATGCCGCAGCTCCGGTTTAGGCTTTAGGCTTGAGGGGTTGAGATGCCAGGGGGTGGATGCCATGGCTCCAGTTTGGGCTCATGGTGGTGCTGGGTCCTGATCCGGTCGTGGATGGATGTAAAACGCAAAGCGATCCCCAACTGTTGGTAGCTCGCAGTGTTGATAACCATGGTAATAAAAGTATCTTTCATAATAGTGTTAATAATAATCACCATCATCCTCACCATAGGAGTAGGCGTCGTCGTCGTCGTAGTAGTAGTAGTAGTAGTAGTAGTAGTCGTCGTAGTAGTAGTGGTAGTACTAGTGGAAGTGGTAGTAGTAGTGGAAGTGGTAGTGGTAGTGGTAGTGGTAGTGGTAGTGGTAGTAGTAGTGGTGGTAGTAGTAGTAGTAGTCGTAGTAGTCGTAGTAGTCGTAGTAGTACTAGTACAAGCTCGAGCCCCACCCCAAGCAAGCTAAACCCTAAGCCTTGAAATCCACAATAAAGCAACCTAGACCTCCCTAAACCCTAAAGCCTTGAATCTCACGAATTTGGCGTCGAAGGCACGACGCCTTGCGGGGAAGTCCCAGCCTGCCCCAGCCCGGAACCCTGAAGTTTCCAGCAGCTCACAGCTGGGAGTGTTGCTGTCTTTAAGAGTTTGGGGCTAGCATAAGGAGAACTAGAGGCGTTGCTCTGCGGTTTCAGAAGGGATTAAGGGAGTTTTGGCTTCGGGGCTCGTGGATTTACGATGCAGGCGGTGTTGCAGGTTCAGAGTTCAGGGCTTGGGGTGCATTTTAGGTTTAGGGTTGAGGGTGCAGGGGTTTGTTCAGGCTTGCTGCTCCATGGTTGAGGACTTGGGGTTGAGATCTTCGGGTGCGGGTTCAGGAGTTTAGGATTTAGGAGTCGGTTTGCTTGTAGAAGTAGCAGTAGCAGCAGTCGTAGTCGTAGTCACAGTCGCAGTCGCAGTCGTAGTCGTGGTCGTAGCAGTGGTAGTAATAGCGGTAGTAGTGGTAGTAGGGGTGGTAGTCGCAGCAGCAGCAACAGTAGCAGCTGCAGTCCGTGTTGCAGTGAAGCTTATGTATGGCTTCAGGGTTTCTTGGCGGGGCTGCGAGGTAGAGCTTTCCCAGACATTTTATGTGTGTATATATATATATAGTGTATGTATATATATGGTACCCCCCCC